ACACCCTGCCCGGCATCAGTCGACCCCCCTCAGCCTCTCTGCTCCTCTTGCTCCTCCCTCTTCCCTAGCTCGCTTCTCGCAGCCCCTTCCCTTCTGCCTCTCCTCTCCCAGGACTGGTCTGTCACGTTTCATCTGTTCAAGAGGACATTGAAACTGAAAACAAATTGAGAACAAAAAAAAAATTGTATGGCAGTTTTTACTTTTTATCGCTCGTTTTTAACTTCACAAATAAATGATAACAAAACCTCCCCATGTCTGCTGGGTGCCGTCTCTCTCTCTCTTTCTCTCTCTCTCTCTCTCTCTGTGTCCCCCACCTGCCCCCGTAGAGTTTTGAAGCAGATGTTTGTTCTTTATAGATGTTGTAAAGCCTGATAAGGGTGATTGGAAATTATAAGCTTTGTGTTGTGTTTTTTCTTTGTTTTTTCTCTTTTTTAAGAAAACAAATATAAAATAGTTTCAGCAGGCACGTTGTACTTTCCTATAACTTTTCTTCTCCCCACCCCACCCCCTTTTTTTTTTTTTTTGGTTAAATAAAGTGCTTTTTGTCTAAAACTGTGTGCTGGCCGCAATTGTGTTTGTAGAGGAACAAGGCTTGGCTGATGAGAGTGGGGTATAAACCCCACTGCCCTCTGAATTTGCTTTGGGGGAGAGAAGCAGGCCATACCCCTGTGGTGCAGTCTATCCTCACCCTGTTCTTCCTCTGGGAACTTGGGGAGCAAAGCACCCAGTATGATCCCCAGGGACAAGCGTTACCATGGATGCAGCCTGCCACCACAGCAAACCCATGGCCCTGCTTCACTGGAGTCAGCCTCTCATTAGAAAGTCCTGAGGTGAAAACCTAGTCTGTCCATGGAAATAGCACCAGTTCCAGTGCTTGGTGGCAGGCCATGGCCTTCCAAGGATGAGGACAGGAGATGGAAAAGTGAACTGAGGGGCCACTTGAACTGTCTGGCCCAGGGACAGTTGTTTTGAGGCACACTAGCAGGAGTGTTCCATTTGGATTTACTGTTGAATACTAACACTGGAAATCAGGTTTCACATTCATGCCCTGGCTAGTTTGGCTCGGTGGTTAGCATCGGCCTGCAGACTTAGGGTTGTGGGTTTGATTTCAAGGGCATGTACCTTGGTTGCAGGTTGAGGAGGCAACCAGTCGATCAGTCTCTCGCATCGATGGATGTTGCTCTTTCCCCATCCTCCCTTCCATTTTGTAAAGATCAATGGAGAGAATATCCTTGGGTGAAGGTTAAAAAAAATCAGGTTTCACGTTCAGAATCTAGATGCCTAGGCCCAGAGGCTTAAATGGCAGCACCAAGCAGGAACCAGCAACAGTGCTGCCTCTAGGTGGGGCCATTCACAGACCTGTGACCTTCCACATTTGTTTGGAACCTCTCCCTGTGGGAGCATTCATTGGTGGCCCCCAGGGAGCCCACTTTGTGGCACCATGAGCCAGAAGAGGGATGCTGTTGCTTTGGGGTCACATGGACAGGTTAGGTTAGAATCCTGGGTTCCTCTCACAGACACTACCTAGCAGGTACTGCACACCCTCTGAGCCCTTAGCTAGTTCTGGGGTGAGGGGACAGCCCCCTACCATCTCACTAGACTTTCAATGACAGCAGCACTTAGCAAAAAGTTTTCTGGAAGTTCTGTCAAGATCTAGAGGAGGGGGAGCAAAAGAGGTCAGTTATTAGTCACAGCTGCATTATTGCCCTCCACCCCAACAACAAGAGGAAAACAAGTTCACAGATCTGTTTACTTTTTTTTATCATTTTTTATTTATTTTTAACTTAAATATTTATTGATTGGAGAGAAAGGAAGAGAGAGTGACATCAATTTGTTGTTCCACCCACCTATGCATTCATTTGTTGAATGTATGTTCCCTGATTGGGAATTGTCCCCGCAACCTTGGTGTGTGTATCAGGCTGATGCTCTAACCACCTGAGCTACCTGGCCAAGGCAGGCCCACTTTTTTATTAATTGCCAGTAAAAAGAATCAGGAGGGACAATCCCATGACTAGTGAGGGAAATGGGTCAAGAAGGCTGGGATAAGACAGGATTTCATGTTACGGCTGGCCACACAAGCTGTACAGAGATGCTGTCCCTCCAAGCAGGCCATAAGGAAGGAGGTGTGGGGAACTGCTCACCCACCAGGCCTCCCATCTCATCCTTGGTCACAGCTAGTTCTATAGGCATTGCTGTCGCTCCCTCTAGCCTCATCTCATGTTCCTACCGTCAGTCGGTGATGGGACCATCACCATAGTTCCCTATCTTCATAACAGGAATTGTGTGGGTCACTGAAAATTATCCCTACTTTCCACCTTAAAAATTTATATGGCTTTGAATTGAGCTGTGGTTAGCTAGTTGTCATAATCTCATGTTTTGTAGATATGTTCTAAAAATGTATTTACTTTTTCAGTTTTGGAGCCACCTATACATTAAAAGTCATAGCTGGGAGGCCGTAGCCTGCACCCATACTACTTAATGGAAGAAATGGAATTCCTCAATGTACATGGATCGGCTGAGGCCTGGAGAGACTTGAGGCCACAGCATGGATCCTGTGCTGTTTAAGCTAGATCTGCATTCTGGAGACCAGGGAGACGTTTAGAAGTAGGTTCTGCTGGTAGAAGGTCAAGAGGAGCTCACACAGAATGCGGTGCATCTCTGGGTGCTGGCGGATGGCCGACTCTCAGTCATCTGCCCGTTGCTCCACCTTTTTATTTTAGTTTCAAGTTTTTGTCCTACATGTTTATTTTTTGGATAAGTAGGACATTGGCAGAGCTCCTAAACCAAACAACACTAACAGGAAAAAATGAAGTGTTCCTCAACATCCCCAGCCACCCAGCTTCACTCTGGAGGCAACCAAGTACTCTGTTTTTTGTGTCTCTTTATATAGCTATTTTAGGCATATAGTGTGTAAGCGAATCCAGTTCTGATACTCTTTTTCCTCTTTTTCATTTTTAATATAAATGGTGAAGACACTGATTTGCCCTTTTATTTATTCTATATAGCTACAGATGATTCCATATTGACACATGAGAATACTAATTCTTTTTAATCGCTGTGTAGTATTCTGTGTGGGTGTACGATAGTTTATTTAACTAGTCTTTGTTGATGGATATTTAGATTGAAATATTCCTTTTAAGATAGGATTTAAGTAGTCTTCACTTGCCTTCCTCTTGCCCACAGACTTTTTCAATATATTTTTATTGATTTCAGAGAGAGGAAGGGAGAGGGAGAGAGAGACAGAGAGAGAGGAGAGAGAGAGAGAGAAACGTCGATGAGTCATTGATCGCTGCCTCCTGCACTCCCCATGCTGGGGATCGAGGCCACAACCAGGCCATGTGCTCTGACCAGGAATCGAAACTTGGTCTCCTGGATCATAGCTCGATGCTCAACTGCTGAGCCACACTGGCTGGGTGCCCACACACTTTCACTGAAAAGATACAAGAGTACCTAGCTCACTACTGCCCACACCTTTGGTCTACCCACTTTGATGGCCCCACTCAGGGAGACCTTTCTGAATCACAATGGCCTCCCACCAGAAGGAAGCTCCACCTCTTCCTAGTTTTTCCAGAATTTGCTTGTAAAACAGAATCCAAAAGTACATTTAAAATAATTAAAACCAAGTAGGATTCATTCCAAAAAGCAAGGATGGTTCAATACAATTTATTGTAATTACATCTTAAGAAAAACTCATCTTTATCCTCGTAAATACAGAAAAAGCAGTTGACAAAATTCAGCATGCATTCTGGATTTAAAAAACAATGATAGGGAGTAGGGGTGCACTCACCCCTTTTCTTTCCCCCTCTTCCCCCAAGGCACTTTACCTTTGCTTTTGTCTCTCCTAAGCTCCAAGGGCCTTTCTTTTGCTTCTGTAACTTGTTTACTTAGACTACACAGCCCAGCTGGCTCGCTTTTACTACCTCTGTAACTTTTTAAACTTTCTCTTAGATTTTGAAAAATAGCCCTAGCCAGTTTTGCTCAGTGGTTAGAGCACCCTGGGTTCGATTCTGGACAGGGCCACATACCTAAATTGAAGGCTTGATCCCTGGCCCCAGTCAGGGCACATGCAGGAGGCAACCAATCGATGTGTCTCTCTCATATTGATGTTTCTCTCCCTCTCCCACTCTCTCTGAAAAGCAATAAATTATCCTCAGGTGAGGATTAAAAACACACAACATAAACTAATAAAGCCACCATCATTAAAACAGCAGTGCACAAGGGGACAAACCCACCCCTAAGACAGAATGAAAAGTTTAGAAATAGATATGTGTGACATGGAAAGTTGGTATATGGCTAGAGTGACATCTCAACTCAATGGAGAAAGGACAGACTTTAATTAAATGATATTGGGACAACTGGATTGCAATCTGGAAAAAGTACAAATTGAATCCTCACTTCACTCCAAAAACTAGGATAAGTTCCAAATGGACCAGAAATATAAATGTAAGAAATAAGATCACATAAGTACTAAAACCATAAAAGAATTCCCATATAAACCTAGGATTGGGGAAAAACAAACAATTATGTCTCAAAATCCAAAAGAAATAACAAAAAATATTGGTAAATTTAACAAAAAAAAGATTTATGGTAACTTTTG